ATGTAAGACAAGTTCCCTTTTCCCAGCACTTGCCACCTAGTATCATTCCACCTCACACACATGAAGATCATTAATAATTCACCCCTCACATCTTTGCTCTCCATTGATAAGAAATTCAGAGTTATTCTAAGCTTTCTGTAGAAGTTTTTTGGCTTTAGGTGCACATGTTGCTTGCGGGAAAATTATGTTCTTTACTACATTTCAGTCATCATTGAAAATTCAACATCATAAATATCTTACTATATATTTTACAATATATTACAGGCTAAATTGGTTATACTAGCTTCCTATGTTCATTCCTAGCTGATCAACTTCTAAATCCTTGGTTTGCCAGTTCAGAAATGGGAAGTTTAACTTCCCATTTATACTTTCTATCTCATCATTTCCAACCCTAGACAAAGATGCAATTTAAATTTCATGTACTTCAAACGCCTGAGCAGGAAGAATAAAAAGTACTTCCCCTACTAAGACCATAGTACTCTGCAACTCAGAAGTTCCAAAATTTTAACCAAAAACCAATGAAAATTTTAATAATTAAACCCAGAGAAACTTAGGATTCACACAAACTAATGGTTACTATTCATATACAGAAGGATAGTATAGAATGAATAACACTCATCCAAAAGGCTATTCAAAATCATAGGATCATGTTCCATATATTACCACTAAGATTCCCCACATTAAGCTTAAGAGTTATTTTAGTTTCATTCTATAATCAAACAAAATTAATTCCAGCTAAACCCATATTTTAGGGTCTACTAACTCACGAATTTAAAGAGAATTTACACCTATATCTGTAATGCTAGTCCTGTACAAAAGAAAGGAAAATAAACTACTACCTTGTGGTATCTGTGAGACTCAAAAGGCACTCCAGACCAAATATCACTATTATCAGTCAGCCAAAAGAACCGGAACTCTTTCCATCAAAATTACTTGTTTGGGTTAAGCCATTGATCATTAAAATCCCTTCTTTGGGTTAACCCGTCTGAAAATTCCCAGAAGAATGGTAGCGTTTCTGAAATACTATAACAACTAATGCCTTCACAGTACCTATGATATTCAATGATCTCGAAATCACATGTCTATGAAATGGATTTCATATACCTATAAATATCCTCACAGGGACCACTGTGGTCCAGGCCCTGTCATCTAACATCCAAATTGCTGGCATAGTCTTTCTCGTTTCTCTACATGCAGGTTCTTCTCCTTCCAAACCATCCTTCAACCTGTGATGAAGCAATTAGAACTAGTGTGGATGGATCTACTAGAAAGTACAAGTACTAAACTCCTTTAAAATTGTTCTAGAATTCAGCCCTTTCACTAAGTCACAAATTTATCACTAAAAGCACAGTAGTCCCAAAATAATTAACTGCCAGTCTCACAGGTGTCAAATCAATGTTCAGGCCATTGAGCAGAAATTTTTTCTAATTTAGGGCACTAATTTCTGTTAATTTCACAAAACTGTCAGATAATTAGTACTTACAATTTGCCAAACACTTCATAGCTGACAGCACCCAATGAGGAAGTTCTTCTGAAGGAAAAATAAAAAGAAGAAGAAAATTTTAATTCAATTCCATATAACTCAAGAAATCATATACATACTTGGTACCATAAGAATGCATTACTTGCACAAGTAATGTGAACCATATCTGCTAATCACAAATCACCAATTTATGTAATTAGAACATTTAAAAGATGGAAATCTTTCCTTGGCAGCAGTAACAACATGTGCTTACATAAATCATGCCTACAGATTTCTCTAAGGACACAATGCACCTTTTAAAGCTACAGTAAAATATATACACACACACGCACACACACACACACACACACACACACACATAGTTTGCTCCAAACAAACCAAAAGAGAAACCAATTATTTTAAGAATTAAAAGAAGAAAAAGAAAAGAAAAAATATTAGTCATCAAACACATTTGTGAAACGAGTCCACCAAACACCACCAGCCCCACAAAAAGGGTAATTCTGTAGGTGCAATATAAGTATCATTTTACATGTTTCCATTTTCAAAATGGTTTAGGCCAAGAAAGTTCCACTTACATATTAATGTTAGGCTATTAGTATTAGGAAAACCTTTAAATAACAGTAACCTAACATTGCTACAAAAAAATCCCAGCTGAACCATTTGGTACAGAATCTCTTCCCTCCAGGCCCTGCCACAGACATCTGATGAGATGGACTAGCACTCGGGCTGCCACTTCACCTTCTCTATTTCTGTAAAACTGCAAAGACACTTGTTGAATTGTGTTAGATCTAACGAACCAGAGTCTTGTAAAATGCTCTCTTCTTTCTTAAGATCTTACTTAATAAAATGAAAGATGACTGATCATCTAACTGATAACTAAAAGTATTAATTTGTTACACTCAGAGAATGTGGAGGAATTTTAGACGTATTTCAAAGGCTGCACTCTCCCCCTCCTTCTATGGAACTTAATTTTGTATGTTGATATTAACTTCACAACTCATAAAGTCACCACAAACTTATTCTCATTGTTCTCCATTCCTTATATAGTGACTATAAAAGGAGAAGTGTTTCAGGTCTGAAGATAGGTTCTGCAGGTTCTGCTCCTGTCAGCAAACATGGCCTAGAAAAATCTCTTCCCCTCTCACCACTGCTCAGGCTATTCTGCTATATTCTGTATGCTTCCCAGGAGCCTCCCGCCCTAAATTTAATCATATTTCTAAAAAGTCAAAAAGTATTATGCCATCTTCTCACATCCAAAGATCATCAAGTTCCAGCCAATTCCCAGCATCGAGGGTTTGAACTAAAGGAAGAACAAATCAATGAGCCCATCCAAATCTGGTCCTTATCCACAGAAAGATTTAAAATCAGTGTGGGGGCTGTGGTCCACTGTCAGTACCCTAACCACATTTGTACAAATCAAAAACCAGGTTGGGTGGCTGTTATATGTTTTGTTTTATTTTGTTTTGTTTTTCTGATTTGTAAACTGGCCCAGGATGGGAAATATGAAAAATTAAAGCAACATCAATATTTTAAAAACTACCTTATTAAAAAGAACCAAGACTATTCCAGAAAATCTAACACAGAGAAACCAAAACAAACATGTAAGTGAGAATTCTAAAAGCAATCAGATCCCAGGGCCCACCTAAAAACTGACTCAAACTCTTAGTTATGTCTTGAATATTCTCACTTTTCAGAGATCTCCCTGGGAATACGGAACCACTTAATGCCCAAGGTGGCTAACACTGAACTAGCTTCTGGAAGGATTTTGCTGAGGCTCTCATTCCTAGATATTCATCTTCCTATGACATTGCCTTAATCCAAACAAGTTGTTAAAAGGTATTAGAAAGAATAAATGTAATGAAGGAACAAACTTATTCAGGGTTTAGGGAAGGGTCAAACAGGAGCTGATGGACCTATGCGGCCAATATATTGTGTCAATAAGTAACAAAATTATGTTTATGCACTTACTTGACTTGTCATCAAGAATAACAACTCCCTGCTTGCTAACACTATATACATTATGGATGATGAACTTCGAATTGACAAGTTTGATGTCTAAAACTTCTTCTAAGGAATCCAGGCCAAGAATTTTCTGTAAACTAAAAGATAAGTAATTATATTAATTAGTTCTTTCTTTCATATTACATTTACTCAAAAACCTGGTACTACAAAAAATCAATCTTCATAATGCTTTATTTTCATGCACTGCACCCAATCTTTGTGGGACAAAAAGGGTAGAAATGGAGTACAATAAAACAAATGTAAAAGATATCCTTTTGCTATTAACATTTTGCTTCACAGATTTAGTAATATGCCAAATGACAAGAAAGTAATTTTGTAAGTAAAATTACTACAACACAAAAACTAACTTACCCAATGATAAGAAACTACTATTAGCATATCTTCATGAGAAACAAAATTTTGCTGTATATGATTAACTTTATACGAATAGTACATCAATATCTAGGAGACCAAATTTTCTATTATGTATTTTATTACACTTAAGAACTTTTAAACTCCTAACTATTATGTAAATAGCAGGAGATAATCCCCAGAATTCCGCTAAACTATGTTGACTGAGCACAACTGCAAATAATGCAAAGTGGAGATTTTTATATACAATTTCAGAAAATTAAATATGCAGAGAGTGAAGAAGTACCAAAATAGGAAACAATATCTCTAAAATTTCTCATTAATATCAACTGTACATACTATGATAATGTCATAGACTTCCATATCTCTTCTACATTGGCCTCTGTCAGCTGTCTGCGGTGGACAAGACGGCAAGCTGGAACCTCTCCAATAGCAATACTGTGACGCTTGTACCACATCTCAGAATTCTAATGGAGGGGGATGTAAGAAGGTAGGGAAGGAGAAACAGTAGAAAGAGAGAGAATAAATATTTCAATATAAGGTGGTGTGATTTTTATGAGAAATGTCTTTGATTTGGTCACCTGTAATTTGATTTAAAATAATAATTAGAAACATAAACTAACTTTCTTTGCATGAACCTCAGAGAAGCAAAGAGTGATTCTTAAGACTAGGTAACATTATAAATGAATATTCATGAATTACAAAAGAGCTATGGCAATAAGTATGGCATTAACTAGCTAATTTTCCCTGTGCATGTTTCAACTAATCAGTGACATAGCAGTGAAATAAAAGTTTATTAATTAAAAATTAAGGAATACATATCTAAATTCACACACAGTACAGACTGATTATTGAAAATGAAATTAAAATGTATTACTTTTGAGGGCTGTCTATTTTTTTATAAGCAAATATCAAGTAAGTGCAATGTTTGAAAGTAGCCCCCAAATCTTAGGCATCTGCAAAAGGCTCCACAAGGACAGCTGAAGATGGCAAAAGGAAGAGAAAGGTTTTTTTGTTTGTTTGCTTTTTAGCATTACCTCAATCCTGGTGGTCTTCTACTGGGGATATTTTAAGGAAAAAATGTGGGAAAAAAAAAAAAAGAGGCAGTCAATTCTATAATAAGCTTAGGTTTTCCAAGACTAGAAGCATCTACCTTTGTTTATATATTTGGTCAGGGGCTATTCCACAATATTCCATGCCCTAATCTTCTTACCCTCAACTGGCAATAATAACAAAGTTTAGGAGGAAGAGACAAAGAGGAAAAAGAGTAATAAATTATAGAACATACAGGAAAAGGCGGTTACAAGAGAGTTGTAACAAAAACCTGCTCAGTCTGAACATACAAAAACAGCTGC